CTCTTTATTCCGATCCAAGAACATCGTATTTAACTTAAGCTCCGCAATTAAGGCACCATCTTCCTTAAATGACATTTGCACATCCAAAGCCCGTAAAGATGCACAAATCTTTCGGCTTAGAGCATCAGCTATCACATTCGCCTTTCTAGGATGATAATCAATAATTATATCATAATCATTTAGAAGCTCAATCCACCTTATTTTCCTCAAATTCAATTCTCTCCGAGTCAATAAATACTTCAAACTCTTGTGATCAGTATAGATATGGCACCGTTTCCCATACAAATAATGACGCCAGATTTTCAATGCAAACATAACTGCTGCCAATTCCAAATCATGCGTCGGATAATTTTTCTCATGATTCTTCAACTGTATTGAAGCATAAGCCACCACCTTATCCTCTTGCATCAACACACACCCAGTCCATTATGAGATGCATCACTAAACACAACATAGTCTTTTTGGACTTAGATTGTACCAGTACAAGGGCCTCTGTTAATTTCTTGAGCCCTACAAAACCTTTTTGACACTTTTCCGTCTAGACAAAAGGCACATCCTTCCGGAACAACTTAGTTAGCACTAAAGCTAATATTGAGAAGTTCCTCACGAAATGTCTATAATAACCGACAAGTCCCAAGAAACTCCGAAGCTCAGATACATTCCTTGGAGATTATCAATCCACTATAGTTTGGATATTTCTTGGATCTACTCGCATGCCTTCTGTGGAAACTATGTGACCAAGGAAAGCAACCTCGGCTAACCAAAATTCGCACTTTGACAATTTAGCATACAACTTCTTCTCGTGAAGCGTCTGAAGAACTACTCGAAGATGAACATCATGTTTTCTCTTGACTTGGAATACCAACATCATCATGAATATCACCACAAATTGATCCAAATAAGATTAGAATACTCAGTTCATCGTCCATGAATGTTGTTGGTGCATTAGTCAAACCAATTGCATCACTACAAATTTATAATGCTTATACCAAGTTCAAAAAACTGTGTTTGAAATATCATATTCTTTGATTTTCAACTGATGGTACCCGACCTTAAGTCTAACTTAGAAACACCGATGCTCATTTCAATTGGTCAAAAACGTCAATCCTTGGAAGAGGATATTTGTTCTTTATTATGGCTTTATTCAACTGACGGTAATCGATCATAATCACATAGACCCATCATTCTTTTTCACAAACAAACATGTGCTCCCCAAAGCGAAACACTAGGTCTTACAAACCCTTATCGAGTAATTCTTGCAGTGGGCTTTCAATTCTTGCAGTTGGGTCTGATCCATTTTACACGGAGCCATAACAACAGGTTTGGTACCCAGATAAATCTCAATCTTGAATTCTACCTCGCGATCTGGAGGGATTCCCGAAAAATCCTCAGGAAATACATATGGAAATTCTCTAATTGTGGGAATATCATTATTCTAACTTCCGGAATTCTAGTATCTATCACATGGCTAGAAAAGCTAGACATCCTTTCGACATAATCTTTTTCGCAGTTATGGCCTATATCACATTCGAGGATGATTTTTATCTTTCGCCGATTACTACAATTTCTGAACCTTCAACATTCTTTAAACAAATGTTTCTTACGACAATCGACCCATCCATAATGTGAAGACAACCAATCCATGCCTAGAATAATTTTAAACTCATCGAAGGAAAATTCCATTAAATTGTCCAAAAACACAATCCCCTGGATATTTATAGGGCATTTACTACATACTCTAGATACTCTCACACTGTGACCCATAGGATTTACTGCTATCTCACTCACAATTGGTTCTAAAGGAATTCATCTAGCTTTAACACTTTGTACTAATGTATGTTTAGTAGAACCAGGGTCGACTAAACAAATACATGTTCATTGAAAAGATGGAAAATTTGTTATGATATCAGGGTCATCCCGATCCACAGTGGTCTAATGTTGTAAATTCTAGCCACTCCCTTAGTCTCTTGTCTCAGTATTGAATCCGTATGTCCCCTGGATCTACCTCTTCCTCTACTTTTATTTGAGGTTGCCACTGATTTTTCAGATTGTGCCGAATTATAACCAGATTTCTTAGGGTAGTTCAGGGAAAAGAGACCCATATTGTCACATAGAAAACAAGCTCCACTGATAAATCTACATACTCCTTGGTGCAATTTGCCACAATTTTAACATGGATTCCTTTCTCTAGAAGCTCTACCCGAGCTAACAACAAAATAATGGGATGGTCTACTTTTCTGTGAAGCTGCTGCAAAACTATCTCTCTCAGAGAATCTGGAACTCGAGTCTTTGCCTCTTTTAACATGATGGGGAGTGGAAGGTATTCCCACTATTTTCCCCATTTGAACACTCTACTCCACCGCTAATGTTTCCTTCTGAGCTCTTTCAATAGCTTTGGCTCTGTTTATAACTTCTTGTAGACTCGACAAATTCAAGGCTAACATCATCTCTTTCATCTTCGACCTCAAACCCTCTATGAACCAATCACATCTTACCTTGTTGTTTGACACAACTTCAGTGGCAAAACGGTTCAACTTGTTGTACTCAACCTCAAAGTCATGTATGACTCACTTTGCTTAAATTAAGGAACTTCAACAGCATTGCTCGTTTGAACTGTTCACCCACATATTTGGTTTTGAATTATTCTTGAAAAATTGCCAGGTGACTTGCTTCGGGGGTGGATACATCATAGTATTGGACCACCATACTCAAGCTGATCCTCTAAGAAAAGATACAACTCCTCCCAACTTTTCCTAATCTGAGCATTGTAGGTTTTTAAGCATTAATATCATATCATTTAGCACATATTGGCCTTAAGGACCCTCACCTTCATCTCCTCAGAACTCTGGTGCTCCTAACTCTTCAGTTCCATTGGAATCAACATTCTAGGTACTGGAGGAGAGGAGGAGGTTGAAACTGAGTTAGTATATCATCAAGAGCTTGCATGAAAGTTCCAAACTAAGGCGTCGGAATCCCTTGAGGTATAGGTTCACTTACATTTCAGAGGAAGAGGATGTGCACTATTATCCTCATAACTTTCACTCCTGTTCCCTTTGTATTTCTTATTCTCCCGCTCTTCGCGAGTTTGAGGATTCTGATATCTATAAAACATACATAATAACAATACCATTAGTAAGGAGTGTCATCAATCACCCTCTAATGTCACCATCTCAGTAACATTGACAATCTTATTGGCATGTAATCCTTTTTTCTATTTAAAATTTAAATAGAACTAGATTTGGTCGAGAATCGCTAAACTTGTAGCTCTGATAGTAATAAGTAACACCCATATTCTATATACATTTACGTAAACGAATACGAATGTCACATCACTTAAAAATTGTTTACTCATTTGAAAAGTCTTTAAAGTTTTGTCGCAAATTTAACTCCACATAAATGAACATTATAAATAAGTATTTCATTAGACATCTTACAAAATATCTTGTTAAATTTAGTTACATGCCAACAAGTTTACAAAAGGATTACTACCGCCCTAATGTTATTGGTGAGTCAACCTTAGTGGAAGATATCTGTTGCTACATCTTCACTCCTTACTGATTATTTTCTGTTGTTACCTACGCGTGGAACACACACGTTAAGTAAATTCTTATTGAGTCATAATATTGTAAAATAACCTTTAGATATATACATAAGTATATCCTTTTATTGAATTCACATCTAATTGTATATTCTCTAAGGATGTTATAATCCTTCTCAGCTGAACCATAATCCATTCATGTTTAATACTACACCATTATTCATTTTCAAGTGTCTTATATATTTATGCCAGTAATGCACCCATATGCATTTCAGCTATGGCATATTTTCATGCCAATGCACCCATATGCATTATTCTTTATGCCGATACTGCACCCATATCATCAGCTATGGCATCCTTCATGCCAATAATGCACCCATATGCATTATTTTTTATGTCGATACTGCCCCATATGCATATCGGCTATGGCATCCTTTCATGCCAATAATGCACCCATATGCATTATTCTTTTATGCCGATACTGCACCCATATGCATATCAACTATGGCATCCCTTCATGCCAATAATGCACCCATATGCATTATTCTTTTATTAATTTGTTTTAGAGCAGTTCATACTCTAAAACTCATTCATGATATTCTTCCCATACATTAAATAAACTTAGTAACTATTGTAAAATACTTTAAAAGTTTAACATTTTAATTATCCTTATTGCATATTGCCTTTAAATAAAATTGCATTCAATAAATGTACTCACCTGACTTGCCTTGCTTTAATATCCAAATCTCACCAATTGCTACTCTAGAACTTGACCTTTGCCTTTACTTTACTTGATCAGGAGCTTGATTCCGATTTACACCATATCCATTGAGTACACATAATTACAAATGTTAGTATCTCTTAACCTAGTACTTAAGAATATTCAAAATATCGCAATCTTAATTTTTATAACAATAACGTAATTGACCGTTTTAGGCTCAATAGTATCGATACTACTACCAGGTATCGATACTTCAATATTATTGTATCGATACTTCAACTATTGTATCTACTTCCTCTGGGTATCAATACCAAAATTAGGTTTGATGTTGCCTGGTATCGATACCCTTACCATGGTATCGATACTACTATACTATGGTACCAATACCCCTTACGGTATCGATACCAAAATCTTGGTATTGATACCCTTATAATGGTATTGATACTGCCTCAACGGTATCGATACTGCAAATTGATCCCCTTTTTTCCTATAGTATTTGTACTATTTTATTAGTACTGATACCCTTGCCCAGATTTTCTAGTTTTTAACCCGAATATTAGCCAAATGGGGCCAAATTTGTTTCTATTTACACCCAACAATGTTATTTAATGCTTCTATACTTATCCATACAAATTTTCCTTCACCTTGTTTCATAAAACATCTAACATCTACCAAGAACATTAAGTTCTAAAATCACACCACTTGTTCTAATGTGTTCTTAATCCTATCCAATTCTTCTAATCACTCATTTGCCTCTATGACAAGTCAATTTTACCATAAAACATCCATAAACACTCCTATATTAACATATCCTTTCAAAACCCATTTCATAAAATCCTCATTATTTCCTTTATTTCTTCATTTTAATCCCATCTAATCCTCTTTATTCACATATATCACTTAATGCTACCAAACAATATTTAAGAACATGATCTATTGCGAATTTACCTTATACTAGGAGTAGAGAATCTCCATTAAAAGAAGAAGAATAAGTGTAAAAAAAAATTACTTTACTTTCCTATTTCTTCCTATTTAAATCCCTATTTTTTTTAATTTCATTTTCCTCTTAAAAGACTAAAATGCCCTCTTAACTATCTATTGATACAATTTAGTCTAAACACTATTATAATCTTTTTTCTCATCTTTTACTACTTATTCAATTTAAATCTTAAATTTTCCCTTTTTGTTGTCTCTAGTCTGATATTTGGGATATTACAAGCAATGCATCAGGCAAGGGATCATATTTCCAATGGAAAGATCATGATAAGAATCCGTACTTGAAGAACTAAAGATGTAGACTCAACCAGAGAACGAAGAAAAGATGACATCATTTGCGGCAAGGACTCGAAGATTTCACATAAAGAGAAAATTGGCATTCCCATCGAAGTTTGCAACGTGACAAAAAGACCAAGTTGAAAATGGTGCTTTATTATATTTTCTTCATTCATGTTTCACAACAATAAGCAAAGAGGGGCAGTTGTAATCACCATTTTCAGCCCAACCGAACTAACCAAACTAGAACTCTAAATTGGGCTTCAAGCCAAACCTTAAAATTAAACCCAAAACCGAAGCCCAATTACCTAACTACCCAAAACCCGACCCGGACAAACCAAACCCGACATGGAAATCTAATCCACCATTCCTCTACCCACCAATCCCACCATTTCCCCTCCCAATCATAGACCACCTTTCTCTATCCCAATACCCAAAGAAGGCCACCTCCACTACACTCAATCACCTGCAGCAGAAACAAGAAGAAAAAACAAGTTGGAATCATTTTCATCTCTGTAAAAAATGGGTATTTAACCCAAAAATGAAACTGTAATAGGCGGTTAATTCAAAATCCTTCCCAAAAAATATTGTAATACTTTGTTTCAAGCAATAACAACGAATTCAAAAAGTTATTCATCCCTTTTTTATTTTTATTATGTTCGAATAGCTTTTTTTATGTTCTCTTTCTCTTTTGATTAATTTCGAAAGACAATAGTAAAAAAACTTCCTTTTAGTTCGAATAAAATTATCCCCTCCTGTTTCGTTTTTTTAAAACATATACAATGATTTTCTGGATAAAAAAAGCCCTTGCATGTATTCGAATATAAAAAATAGGCAACCAAGATTTATATTTATTTATTTATTTGTTTTCGAACCTAGTATAATACTAAATAATAAAAGAAAATAATATAAAAATTAAGTAGAGGGTCGGATCCTACTAGTGTCATCAGAGGCGTCGTCAGTCCGTGTAGCTGAAAGGTTTTCAGCTGATTTCGAACGGTTTAGAAGAGTTTTTCGGTGGTTTTAGCATCAAAGGAGGGTCTAGGGGGTTAGATCTATATTTTTGAATTTTTGAGCATTTTGGGTTTTCGACCATCATGACTGGTCGGTAAGGGGTTGGACGAAACCAGGCGAGGGAGGAGGATTTTCTCTCTTCTTTTTATTTGAAACATGTTACAATGAATAAAGGATAAGTTATAGAAAACATAATGGTTTAATTATGTCATAAACTCCTATAACTTTATCGTGTTTTTGCATTTGGTCCCTGTAGGACCAAAATTATATTTTACCTTTCTTTCATGCATGCTTTAATTTTTTTTAGTAAATTCACTGTTTTAATCCCCTAACTTTAGCGTGTTTTTTGCATTTTGGTCACTAAAGGGACTGATTTTGTTATTCACCCATTTTACGCATGATATATATATTTTGGTAGAATTTTTTTTAATTTCTTGTAACTTCCGCGTGTTTTTACATTTTAATCCCTAAATCTATTTTTTATTTTATTTTTATTAACCCTTACATTTTGAATTATTTAATTTAGTCCCTTATTATAGTTTCATTTATTTTTTTTGAGCTTGTTATTAGATTTTATGCAATTAGGTCATTGTACTTATTTATTTTTATTATTTTATGTTGTTGTTACGTTTTTATTTTATTATTTGTTATTTTATTTATTTAAATTTATTACTATTAAATTTGCTACATATTTTCATTTTTGATTTAGTTTTAATTTATTAATATTCGAATCAAGTTTAGTAATTAGGATTTCACCTTAGTTTTAATTAGGGAATGATTCGATTGGAGTTTTCGCATAACATGTCCAATTACTCGAATCGATTGTTCGACTTTTAATTTATTATATTTCTAAAAACTTCAAGTTTACTAATATAGACAAAAACTCGGTTTTTATTTAGTCCTCAATTTTAGAATTTATCAACTTAGGTCATACGCTTTAGATCTTTTAGAAATCAATTTTAGAACTTTAACATTTAGTCCCGAAATTCGATTAGTGTTTTAATTTTGACATAATTAAATAGGTTAATAGAGCCTCCATTTTAGATTAGATTTAAAACTAGCCTTTTAATTTAGGGGATATTTCGAGTCAGCCCTCGCGTAACTCGAGGGACCATCTCGATTATTCGATTCGATAATTGATTAAAATCAAATAGGGTTCATATTAGAGCCTGCATTTAGGTTTAGTCCCCTAGGTTCCTTAATTTTCATAATTTGACATCTTAAGTTAGGAAAAAACCTTAATTTACTTTTAGTTTAATTAGGATGAATAAAATTTTGTCTAATTGCATTTTATTTTTAACTCTAAGGAACTGTTTACTTATTAAGGAATTAATAGTATATCTCCCGCAATCATGCTCTGGGGGTGACTATTGCTAATTCTCGAAATAAGTCAACATCCTTTTCAAAACCACTTCATGATTTTTAAAAATGAGACACTATTCGGTTATTAGGCACAATAGCTGATCTCCCGCATTTACGCTCGGGAGCGAATGCTATTGGTCTCGATAAACGAATACCCTTTTCAATTTTGCATCTATAATGATTTTCAAATTAAATAAAGATCGAACTCAAAATTTTCCGATTTTAAATATAGGGTAATCAACTAGGTACTAATTTTGGGCTCTTGTGGGGTGCTAATCCTTCACCACGCGTAACTGACTCCAGAACCGATTTCTGGATTTTTGTAGACCCCAAAACTCAATATTTTGATAAAAAAAATGTTTTATTAAAATCACCCAATTTTTACAGTGTCCCAATCGCACCTTAAATGATTGGTGGTGACTCCTTACATTTCGAAACACTTTTCAAAGAGAAAAACTCCGAAGTCGGTATCGGTCTTTTCCCTGCTCGGGTGGAAAACGGTGTCAACAAAACATTATTGAACTGCCATGTTGCTACCAAAAATTGGATTTGATTTTTTATGTTAAATTATTATATTTTGATTTTACGCGATTAAATATTTTTATTGATTAATTTTAATTTTGATGATTTTTTTCTTAAAAAAAGAAAATTTTACTGATTTTCACATAAGAAATGTTTGATATGACATCTTTGACTCGTATTCGGGTACAAATATAGGAAAAGGGTCTTACAAAGTGGCAGTGAAATGTTGCAGTGGCTTCAGCTGAGGGGAAATGTTATTGGAAATTCAATTTAATCGGTAGCCTTGTGTGCACAAGCCAGCTGAAAGTAATGAAGGTCCTAAGCTGGAATGTTTGAGGTCGGGATGCCTTGAACGATACATCGTATTCAGTACATGCTAAGAGATGTCAACCCCTCTATAATTTCTTCATAGAACAAAACTACATAATTCACGGATGAAGAGAGTTCGAAGATCTTGTGGTTTTTTTAATGGGATGGAAGTAAAACCCCAAGGTATTCTTGGTTTCAGTGTTTGTCTTGGAAGCAGTGTTGTGATGTTACCCTTCGTTCAATGTCGGGTTCACATATAGTTGTGATGATTTTAACTTTGATTCAGATGGATTGAAGTGGAGATGTATGGGCTTTTATGGAGCACCTGAGGAACAACAACATTCTGAGTCTTGGGAATTGGTAACATGTTTAAATGATAGTTTGGTTATCTCGTGATTGGTGATCGGTGGTTTCAATGAAATTATGTTCTCGTATGAGAAAGAATACGGGCTGACGCGTAACGAAAGGCAAATGGATGCTTTTCGTGATGTAATGGACGATTTTGATTTATTTGATATTGGCTTCTTGCGTGCATGGTTTACTTGGAATTTCCTAGATTTTTTTCCTACGACACATGTTGCATGCTTTTTCTAACCATTGTTCATTGCTACTAAATATTGTTACGAGGGATATGCGGATTAAACGTTGGCACTTTAAGTTTGAAGCTTCATGGCTCTTTAAACATTCTTGTGAAGTTGAGGTGGTGGGTTATGGTCTGAAGTTGAGGGGATGGTCCCCGAAAAACTCCGTCACTTGTGTCACGGGTTGGATAAATGGTTCAAGGCCATTTGTAGACTGAAACATATCACTGCCATTGACCTTCAAAAAATATTATGGGATTTGTTGGAGCTTGAGTCGAGTGATGAAGTGTTAGGTGATATTGTTGATAGTAAGATACAAATCAATTTAGAAGCAGACAAGCAAGAACTATACTGGGAACAACGTGCCCGGGTGAACTGGTTAATATCTGGCGATAATAAAACTACCTTTTTCCACATATTTGCTTTTCAGAAGAAGCATCATAATAAATTTTTTCAATTAGAAGTAAATGATGGTCTAAGTGTTGAGAGTGAGAAGGGTTTGGAGGAGCTCACAATTAATTATTTTCAGTCCATTTTTACTTCATCTTACACTAAAGTGGATAAAATCTTGGATAGTGTGACCCCAATTGTAACTACTGAGATGAGTTTGGACCTCTTTGGAGTTTTCTTTAATGATGTTACACTTGTAACTAAAGTGGATAAATATTTGAATCCTCTAAAGGTTTCCAGTGA